CCGAGCTTGATGACTGATGATGAGCACGAACGTGATCTTCCGATACCTGAAACAAAGGCAACGAGGTGTGTTCTCGTCGCCCCTCCGATGCTTAAGTCAGAAAGGGAAATATATGCGTGAGGCTATGTGCTGAAAAATAATGTCAAACGTACCTGAATAATGGTTCAAGGTTCTGTATTTATAGTAGTAAGTGACATTCTCCTAATTGGACTCAACTAGCTGGATGTCCTCATCTGTTGGAGTCCTGAATGGTTAAGGAGTTGGTTGAATTCCAGAATTATGCGTGAGATAGGACTCTTGTGGGAGTTAAGATTCCTAATTGCGTAGGAATTCTAAAGGGTGAACAATTGTCAGCAGTAAGGAGGAGCACATTCCCGAGGACTATGCCCGAGGACACATGTTTGCAATATGCGAAGCGTCATGGAGATGTGGTCGGGCCTTGTGTCTCGAGGACGAACATGCTCGAGGACACCACAGGTGGATTTACAACTTTACCAAAATTAGTCCTCGGGATATACTGATCGGGGATATTGTAAAATGTCACCATCATTACTATTGAAATATTATTTGATTTTTGAATAAACAAACTTTGCATCTCATTTTTTAAATTGGATCTTAAAACACGTGAATTGGTGTAATTCCCACATTACTTTAATACAACTTGAGATTTAAAAATTTGTAATATATAAATCATAATTTCATTTATATAATATTAAATATACGAATTAAAATATCTATAATCATAATCATTAAATTGAGTACCATTGAAAGTAGCACAATTTGACATAATTTATTTTACAATTATAAATTCAAAACTGCTGTGTGTACAGGCAGGCTTCATACAAAAGCCTGTCAGAACACACACAGGGGGTGGGCGATGATTTTTTTTGGCAATTTTTTATTTACGATGAGTCCCATACATGAGAGTAATCTGACCAAATTCTGTGAAAAAATTTCTGTACAAATGGCTTAAATGTTATAAATTACTTGCTCACAATCACAGTTCGACAGTCGACACCTCGTAGTTGTTTTGCAGGCAGTAAATCGCCTATTGACAAAAATAATAGAACTGCACTAAGTGTACAGACAGGATTCTCACAGAATCCATACAAAATACACACAAACAAATGGGCCCCAGATTTTTTGGCAATATTTAATTTACATAGAACGCCCAATTTATATGAGAATTCGTACAATTCCTGTGATAGTTTTTGCTGTGCATATGCTTTTTTCCAAAATAATATAATTAAAGTCCCGAACCGATTTGTAAACCAGTGGGCTGAAGGTGGTCGCTATCCGATCCGGTGTCACGGTTTGCACATTTACCACATTTTCAGTCGGAGTATCCTAAATCAATCTCTCTCTCTCTCTCCCTCCCTCCCTCCCTCCCCATGGACGCAGTTACCTTCTCAACTCCACTCTCTTTATATTCACCTCTATTCAACCACCGCCACTCTCTCTCTAAACCGCCACACGCATTCCCTTTCCATCTACCCAGAAAATTCCCAACCTTAACCCTCAAATACTCCCTTAATTCTCACTTACCCACTTATTCAACTCAAAATTCAAGTGCCCCATCTGAGGACTCGCTCTTGCTCCACCTCTCTGCGTCGGCACCGCAGACTCCTGCCACCGCAATGCGCGGGGCCGAGACTGACGCCATGGGTTTGTTGCTCAAGGAGAGGATTGTTTTCTTGGGAAATCAGATTGATGATTTTCTTGCTGATGCAATTATCAGCCAGCTGCTCTTGCTTGATGCTCAGGACCCCACTAAGGACATTCGACTTTTCGTCAATTCCCCCGGTGGCTCCCTCAGGTATGTAGGTTTTGTTATCAATTGTCTTGTTTAATTTAGTGCCATAATTGAGGACATTCTTGGTTATTTATTTCGGTTTTAGTAGGGTAAATAGTAGATTTTTGTGATATTTTGGGTTTCTGTATGTGTAATGCGTCAATTCTTCAAAGCCACTGAAATAATTTTTAATTTTTCTGATTCTTCTATATGTGAATTAAAAAATTTGTTCTCATGTGTCCGCATTGGGTTTCAAAATTTGTTGCATTTAATTGAAGAAATGCACCATAGATATGGTGTAGAAGATTACTGATGGAATTTTGTCGGTCTACTAAGAATGGTTGAATGAGAAGTAGAAAGGAATCATATTTAAGTTAAGAGAACTAGGTGTAGTAAGAAGGTATTTCATTTGCATACTAGTAATGTTAGCTTGTACTGTATTAATTAAGAACCTAGTGCTTAAAACATTTGAGATGATGGTTTATATCATTGAGGGCATCTGAGATTTTCTGTGATTATAGCTTATCTTGATTGTCAATGGCATGTTTAGGTGATTGACAATACGAGGATTGGAGAGATATTAAGCCCCCATTTGGTTTGGATAAAAATTAGATTTTTAGTAAATTTTGATAAAAATTGGTGAAATATGTGGGTGAAATATTGATAAAAGTTGTGAGTCCCATGAAATTTGTGATTGGAAATGAGTTTTAAGAAATGGGGGCTAAACATGGGCTAAGTTAGAAAATTTTAAAAAAATTTGCTGAGTGTTGAATTTTTCAGTACTTGGGGATAATAGGTGTTACGCGCGTAGAAGGCCCTTGTGCCCTTGACTTCTACATTATACACAGTTTTCAAAGCAGGATGGTTTCTGTAATAAATGGATTTGTCCAACAATGATTTGAAGTTACCGATTTCGTGAACAGAACTCGTATAGTTGAAACAAGATAGTAGATATCTTGATGGTTTCCTTTTCTTCTGTCTCCAAAGTTGAAAATGGGATTTTGGGGAGGTCCATGTCCGTCGATAATAGGTTGAGTATGGAAGGTGTGGTATTTGAGAAATAAGATGTGTGTTTACCTTGAAAGTGCTTCTACGAGCTAGACAACTAGAATTTAAAATAAAAATAGATTATAACCAATGGTAAAGAACGTAGGTGATGGAATCTGTGAAAACATGTATTAGACAGATTTGAGCTATACATACAACAGAAAAACCATTTCATGAATATATTTCGAATTTTATCATGTTATCACTCATTTCTTCATCATAATACAAGGAGAGACTAACTTCTTGATTTCGTGAAACTCTCTCTAGGAATTTTTTTCTCTTGTAATATTTCATGGTAGTTAGAAACTGAATTTAGATATGAAAAATATACGATCCAACAATGGCTTTGGAAAACAACATAACAACTCGAGGAGTATCATGCAGTTGAGGTAACACAACAACATGGTCAATGTTAAAGTCACGCAAAGGAGTCGGCAAAAACATTTTAGACATGAAGTCAAAACGTATGGAATGTTTGGCTACGTGGCAATGACATTGGTCATCCTCTGTTAGTGTTAAGTGTATTGTCTACACGTGTGATCATGAAAGGAGAGAGAATATGCTGTTTAAAACTTACATCATTTGTATAAAGGGTGGAAACAACTGCACTATAATCATCGGAACAAACCCATGAGATTTTATAGACTGTGACAAGTAAAGCTTGATCTTGAAAGTGCACTTCTCAAAATGTTTTTCTATCATATTCATTTCAGTAGGAATTACCTTTTTATATTTTATTTTTTTCACACTATCCAAAAGGAGGGTAAGCAAGTCTAGAGAGAGATTGTCACTTTCTTTCAATATAACGATTATAATTATTTCAATGGATGTGAAGATATTTTGTAGATAAATTTCCCTTAGAGTTAAAAGAAAGCGTTGGAACATGTCAATTGCCATTTGTTTGAAGTCTAGATCCAACATGATGATATAGTACCTCATATTAGCCATAGTTTCTAGTATTCTAGCTCCCTTAGTATGTAATTTGGTAGAGTTGTTAAATAGGAATGCAAAAGATGATATAATTAAGGGAAAAATATCATGCATTATTTCGTCTCTTTAGGGCTTCGATTGCAATAATTCCAAATATTTCACTAAGGCAAGAAACAGTTGCTACCTCTATAGAAACGTGTGAATGTTATAATAACTAATCGGAAACAAATATTGTGATAAGTGGAGAAAGAGATGTGGGAATATAACTAACAGGTGATTAGTCTATCTTTGAAAGTATATTTGCAATTCATTCAAGTAAAGGTAGGAGTTCAATAAAAGATAGCGAATGCCAGAAGATTTTTTCCATTAGTCAACAACTGGTCTCCTAACTTTTGATAGGCACTTCACAACATTCTTTTTAGTGATTTTTATTTTTTATTTTTTTAAAGCAACTAGCAACTAAAAACTTACACAATTTGTGTGTGTGTGTGTGTGTGTATGTTTTTTATTTGTTTATTATTATTTTTATTTTTAAATAAGAAGTCAAGGTCAAGCACTTAAATGAAAATTAATGTTCCATGCCAAAAGCCAAAGGGAGCAACCCAATAACTAAATTATTGCAAAGCACGTGCAATCCACTCATGCTAGAATCAGATACTTCACTGTTGGGAAAGGAAGTGGTTGAAAAATGGGGACACCAGTGTGGCTACTTGATCAGGAGCAACAATGACAAAGTACCTTCCATCAATTTTTTTTGACTTTTTTCTTTATTTTTTTAGGATTTTTTTCGTTGAAAACTTAAAAAAATAATGAAAGAACTAATTTAATTCAACATTCTACTTGATCAGTGGACAGTCCGTACAGTAGCAGAAAAAAAAGATTTTTTTTTCCCTCTTTTTTGGAGGAATAGCAATGATGAACAATGTTTTTTGTTTTTCATATTATTTTTCCTGTTGATTGTTGTCGCCCCTTTATTTTTCTTGTGTTTGAATCTTGTCTATTGTGCGAATTTTTTCTGTTCTAAAGGAGGTAACGATTGGTTGAACGTGGTTATAGATGTAGAGGATGGTAGTTACGGTGGCTAGGTATTATGTGAATGAATGTTGGTGTGACTTTTTTTAGGATGGCAACACTAAATATTTGAACTTTGAACACCTATCAAAACTTTGCGAATTTGTTTTGGTCAAAGGAATACGACTTGCTCCAATACCAAATTGATGTAAGATGTAATTGAACAATATAGAATGAAGAACAAGATTGAGAAAGAAAGAGGAAGAGAGAGGAGAAAGAGAAGAATGGGAGAGAAAGAGATAAGAAGAGGGAGAGAATAAAGAGAATATAGGGGGGAAATATCAAGTTTATTTCATATCAAGTTTAATTGAACTACGAAAATGCTAAAAAGATGAATTAAAATCAAACCCTATTTATGTTCTCTAAAATAAGGATCCAATTCGGAAAGTAAGCAACTAATAAAATACGAAAAAATCTATTAAACAAAACACTAATTACGTTTCCGAAAATAAGCATCTAATTTGAAAACTAAATTAAATACTATCTCTACTAAGCTTCCCATCATCTCCATTGTTTTAGAAACCATAATATGCAATATTTAAATCAACGGTACTTCTCTTAGTCATTACTGTTCATGTTATTAGTGAAATTTGACTGGTAGATGTTTCAAATAGATCGATAAGGTAACTCTGCCTGCTGCATGCACTTCTTAAACTTTAGATAAAGCTTGAGAGATTGTTTCAGTCTTTGATTTGAGTTGGGACTTACTCTTTCAAGACTGTGCTGTCTAGGACGGGACCATATTATCCATAATGTGGGATTATATAGTACGTTGATGATTTTTTGGTGTTTTTCATGTAGAAGTTTACCTCTTACATTTATTTGCTTCAGAAAGTTATGAGAAGCTGGAAGTGGTTGATTCAATAAATCAGCAGCTTGAGATGCTGAACTTTATAATGCTTATACCTGCTGCTTGAGTCATTTTACTTGCTGCTGTAATCTGTTTTAAGTCCACTAGAATTGCTGAAGTGAAATGGCCACAATTATGTTATTTCAATTTGATATTAATTTCTAGGATTCCAAGTGAAAGTTGTTTGTAGCTTGCACTGGTGGATATAGTTTTTTAAATGTAGTAAGGTTAAATATGCTTGTAATCTTGCGATGTTATTTCTAGTTAAATTGGTAAGGAATATCTCATCATTATTCCGTCTTGGAGCTTTTACAGTCATGTCAAGAAAATGTCTATGCTTAGCTCAAGTCTTTATCTTCTGTTCACAGAAGGATTTAACTTCCGCAGGTAGTATCCATAAGATGTACAATAATTTAACATAGAAAGTTTTGTGTTGAATCTTTTACTGTAATCATGTTATTCCCTATAATCAACTATGTTGAAACTTGTATCAGTCACTGTTCAGTTAGAAAAAAAAAAAAAAGGGATAGAAGATGCCTGAAGGCTCCGTTGTTTCTTGCTATATGTTGGTTGCTGAGATCTTCATGCAATGCATTGCTTTTGAACCAAATTTTGAGTCAGTGAAATCGAGAATGCACTTGATTGATATTCATCTTTGTGAAGCTTCCTTATTTAAGGCTTCTTTGCATTGGCCCACCGAAATGTGCTTAAATTTGAATCTTATCCATGACCTCATATCTAACTGAGCTTGCACTCCAACTCCAAGCCAAGCCATGGGTGAAATTCATGTGTTTGCACCAGCTTTTCGGGCTGTCATCCGTAACTGTATTCATTCTGTTTGTTTGCTGATTTCGAACTAGTGTTTACTCTCTGTTTTTCTATTTTTTTTATTATTTTATTTTATTTTATTTTTATATTTCATGATTTACTAATTTTTCTTTGAACTATTCATCAGTGCTACAATGGCCATCTTTGATGTTGTACAACTAGTTAGAGCTGACGTCTCCACAATTTCCCTCGGCATTTCTGCATCAACAGCTTCCTTAATCCTTGGTAGTGGCACCAAAGGCAAACGCTTTGCAATGCCTAATGCTCGAATTATGATACATCAACCACTGGGGGGTGCAAGTGGGCAAGCATTAGATGTCGAAATTCAAGCCCGAGAAGTAATGCATAACAAAAAAAATGTCACTAGAATTATATCTGATTTCACTGGTCGCTCATTTGAACAAGTCGAAAAAGATATTGATAGGGATCGTTACATGTCCCCTATTGAAGCAGTTGAATACGGCATAATTGATGGGGTTATTGATAGAGATAGCATTATTCCTCTTGTGCCTGTTCCTGAAAAGGTTAAGGCTTCTACATTTAATTATGAGGAGATCAGCAAAGACCCTAAGAAGTTTTTGACACCAGAAATTCCTGACGATGAGATATATTAGTTGTGGGCTGAACGCTGCAGGTATACTATCTTTGCAGCTTTAGAGCATGTTTGGTTGGAGCTTATGGAACTTTCTTATAAGCCCACAACGTGCGAGACCTCACACTTGTATGGCTTATAAGATAGCACGAGTCCCTATGTCTGGCATCTTATATTTCACACTTTCGCTTTGTGGAGTTATAAGTTCCATGAATTCTATCCAAACGTGCTCTTACGTATGCATACATGGAGCTATTTTTTTGAGATATAAAAATTGGCATCTTCCATATGCATGGGGCTATCACCTTGAAAGATAGATATAACAGCTAATATAGTAACTCCATGCATGTTATGAGGTCTTGAGTGTCGAGTTCTAAAAAAGGAAAGTTTTTGGAGATCAGATATGCTTTGGTGTCGTGATTCATCACCATAGTTAATACTTCAATTTTGATGTTTAAAATTTAGTACCACGTAAACAAAGCCGTAGGCAATGGAAATCGAGTTTTAAGGTTTATTCGGTGAAGTAGGTTGGTAAATGAGTATGATTATGCTTTAATTTACATTTTACATTCCAACTCAAAAGGACTACAAAGAGACATACTTTCATCTTAGTCCTAGTGGAAACCATGTCAGTATCTTCATTGCTGCTGCAGCTTTTTACCTTATGATTTATTTTGCATGGATCTTGTGTAATATTATTCTGCATGAATACTGTGTAATCGAAAGTCGAACCTATTCAGGCACATTTACAGGCTTTGAAGTTCCAGTTTCGTCAAGGATGCCACTATAATTTTTGATAGATGCAGATAGTCTAGATTTTCACATTTATCGTGTTCTCATTTACAAACTGGTCATCAAGAAAGCAGAAAAGAAATTCTTGTAAGCAGCATCCCTGCTTGTGTATGCTTGTTGGTTAAGATGGGTGCCTTAGCAAGCAATGTTGAAGTTCAATGTAATGACATAAATTTAAGTTGCTTTGTGTTACCTAATTTATGAGGAATCATTTTCACAACAAATATAAGTGCTTTTATTTAGAGCTTATTAAGGGTTTGTTTGGAAGAGATTTTGCTCCTGCTTATGCTTTTTGTAAATAGTTTTATTAGGAAGTTATCTAGAGCCAACTTACTTTAAAAGCTTTTCTATCCAGATAAATTTATTCAGAAAATTTTTCATGTATTTCAAAAAGTCAACGGACTATAGGAAAACTTAGTTTCAAATGCCAATGTATGAAGTTATAAATTAGAATGAATGCAATGTGTTTGATAACGTTGATTAGACAACAGAAATAAAATAAAAATAGAGGAAATTTCATAGAATGTCCAATTTCACCTAGTCATTTGCAAAAATGTTCACATTTTTTCCAATATCCATTTTCAAATTATTTAGACAAAAATACCCCCGTTAGGAAATTCTATTTCCACGCTCAAAGCAAGACTCTTGGTTCATTTCCCCAAGACTCGACTCTTGGTTCATTCCTCCCCCTCCCCTCCTCCCAAAATTAACCCCAATTTCATAACCGTCCAATTCACTAGCGGACCCACATGGGGTCATGTGGGTTTAAATGACCCCACAAAATTTTGATTTTTTTTTTTCCAAAAAATAGTTGTTTAACCCATTTTCAACCTACTTTAATACATGTAAAATGAAGTTGAAATATTACATTCTTAATATCATTTCGAAGTGCTCATGACCTAGTTTTTTGCTTCTTAATGGTGTGCGGAATGATCAATCATATGAAAAGTTACAACGTATTAAAATAGGTTGTTTCAAATTAATATTTCGAAAATTTCGATAATATGCTAATAAAATTTACTAATGATCGTATACCATTCAGATCTACAAATCACCTACATTATCTAGAAGCTCGTTTTGAGAACTACATCGTAGTCATATCGAATAGTTCAAACAGATACTGAAAATAGTTAAATATACATCAAACTTACTTACTAAAAGAGGCGTTTAACTCGTCTTTTCTTTTAAAAAAATCAATTATTTCATTAACGTTTATTATTTTTGCAAAATGAATTTTCCAATAATTTATATCATTCTATTACGAAATTTCACATAAAAAATGATGTCAAAATTTCTAAAATAAATGCAGATTAAATGTAATTTGAATTACTTTAAAATTATTTTTTCATTAAACTTAAATTTCATTTACTTTCTAAATTCAATGTGAATTTTATTTCAATTCATTTACTTCTTACATCCAATTTGATTTGCTTGTCGCTGGCTCAACATCCATAAATGACATGGTAAACAAAACTATACATATAACAAAATTCATTTAATAATATTGATAATTATATAATTATAAGACATTTTTGAAGTGTCAAATGTATATTAATTTATTTTCGTTAATATTATATTGTTTAAAAAAATTATGTATTAATTTTTGACCCCACAATCTAAGAAGGCTGGGTTTGCCCCTGCTCCAATTCCAAATCAATTACATTTGCTTGCTGTGAAATCTGAAGGAGTGATTGGGAGGGATTTGGGGTGATTTTGTGGCTGAAGGAGAAGGAAGGGGCTGTCGGCCGACAATTGGGGATTGGGCGAAGCTAAAGGGAAGGGGACGGCATGTCGATAGCGTAACAGCGTTTTCTGTGGAATGTGAACCATTTCTCTTCTTTCTTGGTTCATTCTCCCCCAAATTAACCCCAATTTCATAATCCTCCAATTACAAATCGATTACATTTACTTGCTATGAAATCTGTGAAATTTGAAGGAGCAATTAGGAGGGATTTGGGGTGATTTTGTGGCTGAAGGAGAAGGAAGGGGCTGCTGACCGACGATTGGGGATTGGGTGAAGTTGAAGGCAAGGGGACGGTAGGTCGGCAGGGTAACAACATTTTCTGTGGAATGTGAGTCATTTCTCCTCTCTTCTCTCTCTCTCTCTCTCTCTTTTCATGCCACTACATCTATGATTTATCATCTATGTTATGTGATTTTTGAATTGTGAATGTTGAAAATTTTGAAAGTTGAGTTTGAGTTGAGTGTTGACTTGGACTGTTGGGAACAACCTCGAAATCAGTTGGGAACCTAGGATGCCATAGGAATAGACGGAGTTTGGTTAAAGGTTAAGAGAGAATTTAAACCACCTAGCTGGAAAAAAGAAGAATGCAAGGTACAATAGATATAAATATACACTTTGAAAACTATCAAGGCAAAATCTCATATAACCCTCCATGTTGAGAATCTCTAATCGCTCATGATCTGTTGCCTTTGGCCACAAGGTAAACTTAAAAGTCTAGCATAAATAAATAGGAGCAAAATCTAAAATACCATTCATTTGGCTATAAATTGTATATCCCTCTAAATAAATAGGGGCAAAATCTAAAATACCATCCATTTGGCTATAAATAATATATCCCTCGGATTAACATATTCCAAATGGAACAACATTCCAATAGAAAAAGTTATAACTTGAGACTACTTAGATACCATAGACATGCTCATTCTAAAATAATTAACCTAACCCAATCCATCCTACCCCAAACATTAAAAATTGTCTGCCAATTTATCAAATGATCCCTGCAATCTCCCTTGTGCCTTTTTCTAAAAAGAACTGCCATCATTGGCCAATCCTCCTTGGCCTTTCTATTGGAATCTTGTGTAGAGATTAGTAATACGAAGGACTTTGAGCAAAAGACTAATGATTGTAACTGTGTTGCCCATATTGGAATAAGCACTTTCAGCTGCCTTTGGCACATAGGGTTGAACCATAGAAGAAATTATGAATAAAATTAGAGAAGACAATCATAAGTCAATTGTATTAAGTTGGATATTATTTATAAGTTTTTCATTCAAGATAATGCTACTTGCACCATCTTTCTTGTCCTTAAATTTACCTCCCCACTCTATATTATATCATCCAATTAGCTTGAGAAAGATGGTGCACATAACGTTCTTTTCAATAAAACAAAAACTAAAGAATATTATCCACAATAAAAATATTTACATAGCATATGTACTCTAATTGTATATTTAATTCCTTATACAATTTAATTCGTTGTAGCAAACACAACCTTATCGCCATCACAACTTTGATTAATCTTCTCAACCCAAGCTGCATAAAGAAACTACCCTTTTATTGAAATCCAAAAACCATGGGAGAATTCCGTAAGATCACCAAGCTATTTTTGAAACTATTAACTTCATCAAAAAGAAAAGAAATGGGCTACTTGGTTAACTGATATCAAGTACGCTACTGTGCTTCTTTATTGTCCAATCATAAACTTGCTAAATCGTCCTCTTGGAACTTTTCTATGATGTCAAATTGACATATTTATTAGTACTTTCTCATTCCAAGTAATCATTCATAGACGTAAAAGATAACGTTTAGCTATCCCTCCCCATACAAAACATATAAATCCCCACAATCTCTTTCATCTTATGCACCCAGGTGCACCCACAAAAAAAGAAGGAGAATTTTGTGTTCGATGTTAAAAAAAGGGGGGGAAAAGCTCTTTCTAATCTGAATTCCCAAACAACCAAAGCAAAAACCATAAAAAATTTTGTATAGCCGTCAAGAATAAATAACGTCTTAAATCACTAAAAAGACTCGTATCTAATTTTAAAAACATGCAATTAATTAAAAAGCAAAAGCAACTTACCCCAAAATTTCGAGAGCAAATTATTCAATAATCATCCAAATAAATATATTAATAAATTCTGTAATCACCAAAAGCAAAACAACATTAATGAAAAATTATGAATAATATCAATGTATCTCTTGATGAGCCGATCTCCTACAACGCTCAGTGGTATAGGGCTAATCGAATCTTCTTAAGAACACATACCTTTATTTTTCCAAGAATAAATGAGTAAAATGGAAAAATCCAGCATTGGAATTCATTAAACTTTCACTACAATATTTTAGAAATGAATATTAACCCAAATCTTACTTTTTTGCTCTCCAACTTGTTATTTACCAAAATGGTTGCACCAAAAGCCCCATGCCCTATCTGCTCCATGATCTCATATTGATCCATGGCCTCTATAATAAAAGTAATGGCCTCAATCTCCATTACTACCTGTTTGCATATCATAGCAGTTGGATTGTTCAGTGTATGGTTCTATAGGAGCCTTGAGATTGTTGGAACTATCAACAACTTGGATATTCTTGAAATACTCAGACTTGCCAAAACCCTCTTCTGGGAATCGACTGCTGCCCATTTGAGTCGAAGTGTGCTACCCGTCGGGTTGTGAATTTACGACCTCACCATCCCATTATATCATGGAAGCAATATCTATTAAGTCGGAGAATAAGAAAGATGGCCAATAACCCAATACATAGCCATTGCCAAACTGTATCCACCAATTTCCCTCTTTTGGGTCCTCGGATAAATTAAAAAGTTATAAAAGGATAATTATAATTGATTATTTGTTTCATCACAAAATGCATCACAAGAGGGAGAGCGGGGTGAACTTGGAATTTACCTTCCACACAAGAATGTTGATATCGTATTGGGAATTTCGGTAGGATGAGACAGGAGAGATGCTTGTACCCATTGCTATTTGACTGCTGACTTGTATGAAACCCGAGCAGAGTAGATTATAGCAACCGATGGTTTGATATGCATCACTCTATAATTACAAACTGATATTAGGATTTTCCTTGGAGCTTTATTAGTGTATAAAGAAAACAAACAACAAAAGAATAAGCTTACAGTCCAGTATGTGAACAATCCTATGTTATTATAGCCGTAGAGATCAGGGCTAACCTAAAGTAATGTGCATTCCAATCAGTAAGAGGATTGCAACAAATTATGATCAAACCAATAATTTAAAAAAAAATACCTGCCGACTAGTTTCAATGCTATTGAGATCTTCACCAAAAGAAACTCCCAGTAATCAAATTTGGGACAAACTGAACTCATTAGGTTGTTGTATTTTAGGTTCCCACACGTTAATAGTTGCTTTTGCACCATAATACTTGTCTCTTTTGACATTGCTAATGCGTGCTGGTGAAACCATAAAATTAAGAAAAGATATTCACGTAAGTTGGATCACCCAGCAGATTAAGGTGCAGGATATTA